AATAGGAAAAATGTGATGAGTACAAACGGAAATGAAAATCCTCTTTTGCTCAATAACTCATGATAATATTATTACCAACACTAGGTACGTATTCTTGTGAACTTATAATCACATGATGAAATTGTTCCGAGAGTAAGAACACGTTGTTTAGAGTAAACAATAAATAATTAAAATAATTACGATTAATAGGTATTTTGTTAACTCTGGAATTACTCAGAGAAAATTAAACAAACAAACCGAATGATCTTTCATTAATACATATTCAACAGATAGCATATAGATACGTAACATTTCTAAAAGGCAAAAAAAGGCAAACCTTAATAAATTAAATCTCGACAAATTAAATCTTGACAAATTAAATTTCGACAAATTAAATCTCGGTAAATTAAATCTTGACAAATTAAGTCTTGATAAATTAAATCTTGATAAATATATTGGTAAATATAATATTGATAAATTAAATCTTGATAAATATATTGGTAAATATAATATTGATAAATATAATACGTATTGATAAATTAAATATTGACGATAAATATAATATATATTGATAAATATAATATAATATTGATATTGTTGTCGTTTGTTTATTTCATTCTCCTTGATACAGTTTCTCTCAGTTTCCTGAACGCATATACGTACAGTACGTACGTACGTTGCATTCGTATATATTCGTATATATGCAATAAATGCCAGGTAGCATTGACGTACATTAGGTACGTACGTGCGTACACGTTCATGCCACGTTTCGGCGATGGTTTACTTAAAAGAGGAATTTCTAAAGTCTTTGTATTTCCTTAAATTAGGAATTTAAATCTACGTATAAACCATTAATTTTCCAAGAGCACTTATTTGTCGCTTTCTTGCTCTTTATGAACAATAGTTTCACATAATATTTCAGTAGTTTGTAATGTTTATTTTAAAAACAATTGTGTAAAACAGTACAAAATTGTATACGTAAAATTGGGAAAATTGTGTAAGAACTAATATTGCATATTCCCTGAGTATCTAATGACCTAAATTGGATTAAGAAAAGGAAATAATTAGAAATTATAATTAGAAATTCAATACGGAGATAAATTCCTTGTTGTTATTGTAACTCAAGAAAATTACTAACAATATGTGTATACGTAGTAAATATTGGTACGTATATAGATAGATAATGAATAATAAAAGAAAATAGAAATTATCGGAATTTTTGGTATGACGGTTAACAATGAAAAATTACACTAATTAGTATTAGTACGTACGTAGAAATTAGTAAAATTAGGACGTAGTAACGAATAAGATTGATGAACGAATTACACATACGTATTAGAAATTCTAGAAATAATCTATAATATATCTATAATATATCTATAATATATCTATAATAAATCTATACGTAATAACTCTATAACGATAATATTGTAATAGTATCGGATTATACATAATTTTACATTAAATCGAAACTAAATTATGATTCGGTATTTCTA